GCTCCATCCGAGGAGGGAGGGAGCCCAGGAGTGACACCTGCCTGGGGGCCCGCTTCCAGCCAGGGCTCTGTCAGCTCCCCCAGGGGCCAGGAGCACGTTGGCTCACACCCTCTCCTGCCCCTGAGCTGTTAGAGGGGAAGCCAGGGCCCTGTGGCTGGGGTGGCTGCAGTGGCCTGGGGTTCCCGATGGCCGGCCAGTGACAGCGTGAGGCTCAAGGCCCAGGGGACCCCGAACCCCTGCTCCAGGCTCCAGCGCTGGGCCCTGGGAGGGATCTGAGGAGTCCCACTTGGAACCTTCTGCCACATCCTAGAGCAACAACTCTACCCCCGGGGGCCTGCCTGCCCACACCCATGGCCCCACAGACACCTGGCACCTCACCCGTTCTGGATTGGGAGGGCACCCCTTGACATCCACACCCACAGCTGGCCTAACTGTCAACACTGAAACCCCAAGGACTGTCTGCAAGGCCCGGCCGGCCCCACCAGGTCCAGGGCCTCCCCAGGCCCCACCCTCCTGTCTGGGTCCCAGGGTCTCCGTGCAGTGTGCGCTCTCTAGGTTGGGGCAAAAATGGGGAGGCGTGTAGACCCCCTAAAGACTGTGGGGGATGGTAGGCTTCTCTGATCAGGCCTCAGCCCCGTTCGGAGTCTGAGACCCCTTAGAAAACAGGGGAGGGGACCAGGCCCACGGAGGAGCTTGAGGTCATTCTTCGGCAGGGGTCTTGGTGCCCCACCCCCAAGCAGGGCTCTTCTTTTTCAAGCAAAACTACCCACCCTGGGACTAGGGTATCTACCGGAGCCCAGGGCTGCCTGACCCTTGACCGGGGAACCCCAGATGCGTGGTCAGACATCCAGGGCCACGGAGACCGGCCCTTTCGCCAGCTGTGACGCCGCAGATTCAGACCCGGAGGAGGACGCCCTGGGCTGGAGGGGCAGGACCACCCTTCCCCGGCCAGGGAGAAGCTCCGGGAGGAGTTTCCCTCGCGCTCCCAGCCCCCATTCATTCCTTGGATCCGCGTAAGGCCCGGGGGCGGAGGCAGGGCTACGAGCGCGCGGCTTCCTGCCGGCCCCGGGCGGCGGCCCGGCGGAAAGCGGCCTTCCCGGGGGATGAGGGGGGCGCCGTGAAACGGCTCCTGGCTCCTCCCGCGGCCTCCTTCCGGGGACCGCGCGCCTCCCCCAAACGCGCTGCGTCTATCCTCGGCGCGGCACCGCCCGGGCCGGGCCGGGCCGCCGCCACCTCCTGGGCTCGGGTCCTCGCACCCTCCCGTGCCTGCACCCAGGGCGCCACCCCTGCCCACCTGCCTTCGCCCGCACTCGGCCACCCGCCTGCTCTGGGTCCTGGTCTCCCTGCTCCAACCTGCTCGGCGGCGGACACCCCTCCTCTCCCGGCTCCTCATCCGGGCCCAGCACCCCTCCCCTCTCCCAGCGAGCTCCCCCTGGAATGAAGGCAGAATCCTCTAAATCAGAGAAGCCAGGGCGAACCATGGGAGATATGTATATTTACATTTATATACATTTATCAGAATAGAAAATAGCCCCTGAGAAAAGCTAGGCATTTGGTCGGGTAAGGTCCCCTCAGTCGTGGGCCGATGGCGGCGCCTTGGACCCTGGGTCGGCCTCACTTCCCTTCCCGTTTGGCCATCCGACCTTGGCCGTGTGGTTCGCTTCCTGGTAAAGCTTCCCCGGCCTGGTGGGGCCTCCTGCAGCGGCGGCTCCACGGCCGGGCCCGGCCGCACTCTGGGGGAAGCGCAACTGTCGGGCCGGGCCCGGAGACCCGCCCTCAGGACCAGGGACAGCGGCGACACCAGTGGGATTGGAGGGCTGGGCTCTTAGGAAACTCTCCCCACCGGGGCCCTCTTTGGGGCCTGGTACCCGTCCTCCTTCTGAAGTAGCCCCTTCGGCTGTGGCCTCTTCCAGGAAGCCCACTCTGACTTTCCCAGGTACTGCGGGGTCTGGAACTGCGACCTCCACCCCGCTCGGGGCATTTCCTCTCTGCCCTTGGAAGGTGCGGTTTGCACCCGCTGCTGTCACTGAAGGGGCTGGGCCTGTTTCAGCCTCTGTCTGGAACTCTGGGCGGGAGTGGCTGCTTCTGTTTGAAGTGGCCAGGGTTCGGATAGAACATCTCTGGGGAGTCAGCCCCCTGACCCGCACCCTGGGGAAGCGTGGGGCCGGCGCTCGGCTGCCCCTCCCGAGAGAGCGCGACCTCAGGCTGTGTCTCCAACCTTTCCCTTTTTTGAAACAAACAAAAATCTGAGTTTTTGTGTGAAACCTCCTGATATTCAAATATTGATAACCAAATTAAAACATGTCAACGCAGTCCCAGGCAAACGAACAGTCGTGCCGGCGAATCCGGGTCCTGCAGGGAGCCCAAAAGTAAGACGGGGTGCCGGGTCCCACTCCCAGCGCGCGGGCCTCAGTTCCCTCTGGGCGCCGGGAGCGCGGGATGCGGCGAAGACGCTGGTGTCCCTTCCCCCAGCCCCCGGCCCTACCCCCGCTTCCTCTGGGCCCCGCGATGGGGACACCTTTCCCGGCTGGGCGAAGTGACTGAGGTTTTGTGCGGAGTTAATGGAGCTTCAGCTAAAGCCGGGAGGAAGGAGAGCGGCGGGCCGTGGGAACCGGCCGTGCGCCGCAGGGAGGGGCGGCCTTTGTCTGCGCCGAGGCCGCTTGGGGCGGGCCACGTTCCCATGGCGACCGGCGGCCCCGGCCGGGCGGGGTGGAGCGGGCGCTGGATCCTCCCTCCTCCAAGGGGGCCAAGAGGTCTGTCGACTAAGGGAGCCCCTCCCCGCCTTCTCCCGTAGCCCTCTTTCCCCCAGAATTCCAGACGCGAGTGGGGATTCTGTCCTCTGACAGGATCCGCACTTTTTTTTTCCTCACTGTGCTGTGTTTACAGGGTCGTCCTGGCCGGTCTGGCTGGAAGGTAGAGGACGAGCCTGGAGCAGGGCTGGCATGGATCAAGGGCAGACAGGAGCGGCAGGCGCTGCCGGTGTGAGGAGGGCGCGGTGGGGCTGGCACAGACGCGCCCCCGTGAGCCCTGGGCCGCCGGCCCCACCCCTGGCCTCTTTCCACTCCCTACTGTGATTCGAGGGCCCCCCAGATACCAAGATCCCGCATGTCCATGTACACTGTCTCTCCACCAAGTCCAGACCATCCTCTCCTCAGCCCCACACTGGTCTTCTGACTGGCTGCACGTCCCCCTGAAGGGAAGAAACCTTTAGGAAGGTCAGAGGAACTTCCTAAAATGCTATCTGGCCCTGTCACAGGGGCCTCGTGACTTAGAGGATGTCTCATGCTCTCAACAATCAAGCAGGGTGTGGCCCTGGGCTGGCTGTTTTCTGCAGCTTGGAAGGAAAAGTCTTCGAGGTTGCTGCTCACCCCTCCATCTTTGCCTCTCCGAGCTCCCACTGCATTGCAAGGAAAACGGGAAGTGGAGAGTGACAGAAGGCTGCATCACCCCCTTGGTTTGTCAGTCTCCTGATCCCTCCAGGCTGGCCAGCCCACCCCTGTGCACCCAGCATCCACGCCCAGTTTCCCCACAGGGCCCATGAAAGGACGGCCTCTGGGTCCATTCACATGCCTGTCCTCCACGGAGGAGGGCACCCCGCCTGTTGGACCTGCAGCAGAAGGCAGTCCCACCCACTCTCCCCCAGTTTCATGCCCAGCTACCAGTGGGGAGAAGGCAGAAGTGCCTGCTGAGGTCCAGTCTAGGAGCCAGGCCTCCAGGTCCCTGCTCCCTCCGGCCTCCCCCACCCTAACCCCCAAACTCTGCCCACCCCCCATCTCCAGTTTAGCAGTATCTCATTCTGATTTCCTGATCGGCTGGTCTCAGTTCCTGACTGTAATACAGTGTCATTTCAGTGGTCCTTGGGGTGGGGGATGCCAATTGTGTGCCTTCCACATGGGAGATACCCACTCTTGTTTCATGTGGCTTGAAATTGGCTGCCTGTCCAGAAATGGCTCATGATCAAAAACCTAATCCGCTGAGACCTCTCAACCACAGTGGTGTACACCAGGTGGAGACAGGCCGAGGGAGCCTGCCAGTAGCATCCAGATCCTGAGAATAAAACCGCACGTACCAGGAAGCAGGTCAGACAGAACCCAGACACATGAGCACCTGGATGGAGCTGTATCTGAAGCTGGGCCCTTCACTTGCTTTTATGAAGCCGCTAAATCCCTTTTCTGCTGAGGCTGGTGTTCTTGGACCACACGGGCTCCCTCAGGGAAGGCCCTTTCTGCCCACTTTACTGCGGTGGAGCTAGTGCCTGGGACAACGTGCTGCACACACAGGGGCCCCGACTCACTGATGCTGCGTGCGTGCGTGTGCATGCCCGTGTGCTCACAGCACGTGTGCTTGATGGCCACAGGCTGTGCACCTCCTGGTTCCTGCACTCTGGGCATGCGATTGGGAGCGAGCCCCTTCCCCCAGGGCGGCCTCTGGGGCAGCCCCCTTCCCTGCAGTAACCAAGGGGCCTCACGCCTTTGGGTACACGACCCTTGAGCTCTGTGTACGTCCTGAGTCATCCTGGGCTGGTCTAGGGGACCCAGGAGGTGCCAACCCTGAAGGGCCCATAGCCTTGAGCAGCAGGGACACAGAGTCTGTCTTCAGGAACTACCGTGTCTACCCACGTGTACGTAGTAGGAGCTGACCAAACGTGTGCTGGTTGGACCACACTGGGGCACCCCACCTCGGCAAGGAGGAAACAGCTCCCCAGCGCTCGTGCCATGCCCGCTCCTACCACCAGACGGGCCCAAGCCAGCCCCACCCCCGCTGGGCAGGGACGTCTCCTTGCTTCTCAGGGTCTCTGGGACCAGCTCCTCTCCACAGCCTAGAACTCACGGCCCGGGTCTGACCATCATCCTATCCCGCTGGGGCCGCAGGGAAGGCAGGGACCGAGGCTCCACAGGCAAAGCAGGAGGCGGGCCGCTGGGGCCACAGAGAGAGTGCACGCAAGTGAGGCCACAGGCAGCTGGGCAGGGACGGCAGACCGGAAGAACCCAGCCAACCAGCAGAATGAAAAAGACAACTGTATTCGATTTACAATTCACAAGATTTACAAAAAGGGTTGGGGTGGTCCTAGCAGACCCGCTCCTGGCCCCCCAGACCTGGGCAGAGCCTCCAGGTCGGCCTGTCTGACAGGCCGAGACCAGGACCACCCGTCTGCTGGGTCCCTTCTGGCCGCCTGGGCCTCGACGTCTGACGTCCAGCTTGACCTTTGAGGTGGGGCCTGCAGCACGGAGTCCCCAGAGTGCCGGCACCCCGCAGGGCAGGCCCGCGAGGTCAGCGAGGCATCGTACCGCTTCTCTGCCTCTGTCCAGGCGGGGCAGACGCACACGGTCCGGGCGCTGGGTCCCGGGGGGCCGCAGGCACTCAGGCCCCGCCACGGGAGGCCGAACCCAGGTGTCTGAGGCGGCTGCTGGTGCTCGGGGAGGGGGCCGAGGCCTGACTGCCCCCAGCGGCCCAGCGTGGCACCGAGGCGTAAGGCACGTTTTTCGAATCACTCAGGAGACACACCGGATGCTGGTTCTTCGGGAGGGAGCTGGTGTTGGCGGCCCCCGGCTCTATTGCTCAGGGAAAGATGCTAACGTGGCTACAGACTCTGAGGGGGAATCCCCCGCCACACACACTCGGAAGCCCGGGGCTCCTCCTCTGCGGAAGAGAGAAGGGTGAGTCCTACCTGCCCGGCCCCGCCCCCCAGGGCTGCCCAGAACCTGGCCCCGTGCATCACACACCTGTGTCCCAGACCATGACACTGGAGGTTGGAGGTCAGAGGTCCGTGACCTTGTTCTCAAGCGCAGCCGCGATCTGCTGGAGCCGAAAGGCCAGCTGCATCTTCTGTGCGGCGGGGTCCTCCTCCAGGGCGTTGATGATCTTGGTTGGGGGGTTGAGGGGGAGGGGCAGGTGACGTCAGACCACAGGCCAGGGGAGGGGGCGCCCGATGAGCGCTGCTGTCCCCAGGGAGGCCCAGCCTCCTACCTCGTCGTAGTACTTCTGCGTGTACTGGTAGAGCTGGTGCAAGGCCACGAGGGTGTTCAGGGAGTCTGTGTGCGCCTGAAGGGCCGGGGCAGGGGCTGCATGACCCACGGGGGCCGGAGGCCGTGCCCCAGGGGGTGGGCAGATACGAAGGGCCCCCCTCCAACCCTGTCACAATGCTTAGACACACAGCGTGCCAGGCACAGACAACTTCCCATCCATGAGGGCCCCAGGCAGGCGGGGCTGGCTCAGAGCTTCCCCCAGCTCCCCATGCACCCCAGGGCCCCTCGCCGGTGCCTCTCTAGGTCCTGTGAGCATGTCACCTGCCCCCCCAAGTGGGGCCTTCAGGGCGAGGTAGGAGGCTAACCCTGGGGGGTGGGGCTCTCAGCCTGCGCCCCCCCATACCCCCCTTACCCGGGAAATCTCTGCCAGGTGTGTGTTCATGTCCTGGTCGCTGACCTGCACCATCTGTCTGATCCCCTTGTAGTAGCTGCAGGGGAGAGAGAGTTATACAGGGTGGGGGGTACTGGAAGCGGCGGGCAGTGGTTCCCAGAGGTGGGCCCTCCTCCTGATCACCCGCAACACCCAGGGGACCCACTGGGTGGGCGCTGAGGATGGGCAGGCGGGGCCTGGCCTGGAGGGCGGGTGTGCGGGACTTACTCCTCCACCATCTTCTTGTAGGTGGAGATCTCCTTGGCGTAGAGGAGCTTGTTGCTGGGAGAGTCCTGTGGGGATTGGAGCCAAGTGACACCCAGGCCAAGACACCCAGAGAAAGAAGGGTGTACGGAGGAAGGGGTCCCACAGGATAGCTGCTCTGCCCAGCCACAGACCTAATGGTGCTTTTGTCATTTTGTAATTTACAATAAATCTCACTTTTTCTCATGGAAGGGGAAGGATGACAGGGTCCCTAATTGCCAGAGGGCCGCTCCCCATGGGGCCTCCCATCACGCCAGGGACCGGCACCTGTTTTCCTCCTGACCTCCAGCCCCCACGTGCAAACCCACACCCGAACTGACCCCCTTACCCCGCCGCAGCCCGCTTCCCTGACGGCCCCTGGTCCAGGCCCCACCCTGCCGGGCTGCCCACTTCCCTGATGCCCCCAGTCCAGGCCCCCACCCCACCGCAACCTGATTCCCTGATGCCCCTGGTCCAGGCCCCACCCCGCCGGGCTGCCCGCAGCTGCACGCACGCGGCTCAGCTTGTGCTCTGTGCGTGTGCAGGCGTCCATGAAGGTCTGTGCGATGACTGACAGGGAGGCGTCCACCACCTCGTGGACGTGCACGTCGAAGATGAAGTGGGGGTTCTTGAGGATGTTTACCCAGAAGCGGAGCGGTAAACTGAGGCAGAACAACAGGGTGTGAGAAGGAGCATCCGGGAGCAGGGCGGGCGGGGTGGGTGGGGCCGACTCCCCACCTGTTGGTCTTCCAGATGTGGATGGTGTCCTCATCCTTAATGTCATGCTTTTCCGCCTGCTCGTCCAGGAAGTCGAAGAAGTACTTGACCGCTGGTGGCACCGCATTCCCGGGCGCCAACACGCTCTGGAAGAAGTTGTCCACGAACTGCTGCAGCGTGCCCTGCGGGGCGGGACGGGGCTCAGCACGGCAGGGTGGTACAGGGCAGGAGGGCCGGGCCTGCCGCCCACATGGCCCCCGAGGCCCACCTTGACGGAGAGCAGGCGGGTCAGGTAGATCTCGGTAATGGCCTTGGTGCGCTCCTTCTCCTTCACGCTGCCGCGCTTGCACTTGCCCTCATCCACCTCATCCGCGGGCCTCACCAGGTGCCACACGCGGTTCTCCTCCTCCAGGAGGGCGTGGCCTGTGGGGGGCGGGGCGCTGAAGGACGACCAGAGCCCAGGGCTGGGGTCCCAGCACCAGGTGGACCCTGGTTCAGGACCTCCAGGGGCCAGAAGGGGCCAGACAAGGGGGAAGGGACTCACGCTCCCCAGGCAGGTCCTGCTGACTGTCCTCAGGCTGCTGGGAGACCCCCACCTTGGACAGGATGAGAGTGGCTCCATCCCGGACCTGGGGAACAGGGACATGAGGGCCGGCCCCGCACCCCGCCCTCCTTGGGCTCTGCCTGCTGCCACACTCACGTTGTAGTGCATCAGTGTGTTGACACGCCTCCACCGGCCCTCCCGCTGAGAGGTCAGGTCCAGGTCTGACAGGATCTGGGCTGTGGATCCAGGACGCCACTCTGTGGGATGACACAACCCAGTTCCAGGGACCCATCCCAGCCCCTGCCCCCACCTCCCACTCATCACCTGCCCACCTCCCCACCCCGGCCGACTGGGAGCACACAGCCCAGCTCCAGGGACCCCATCCCAGCCCACCCAGTCCAGCCTCCCTCTTGCCACCCGCCCGCCCCCCCGCCCCAGCCGACCAGGCTTCTCCGGGCACAAAGCCAAGCCTCCAGGGACAGGGCTCACCAAGGACCACACTGTCAGCCTTGGGCCAGCGGGAGCAAGGCTGCGTGCGGTACACCTGGTCGATGATCTTCTCCTTGACCTGGGAGATGGTGTCACAGTTGAGGACCTTGACCGGCACCGCATCGACCCCTTCATCCTGGACGATCACGCTCACCATCTGCCGGGGGCACAGAACAGAGGACCAGCTGGGGAGGGGCCCTCGCCCTTGCTCACCCCAAATTGGAAGCAGGCTTGGGCCTCCTGCTGATGGCAACCTCTCTGGTGGAGGAGAAGGGGCGGAGCGTCCTGAGCCCCGACAGTACCCGGGCCTCACCTCTACCTGCGCTGTGGCTCAGGACAGACAGGAGGCTGAGGCTGCTCACGTGCAGCTACGACACCACACACAAGTAATCACAGGAGCACACGTCACGCACCGCCTCCCCATACACACATTTACCACCACACACCCGGTGCGCCGGGCCCCACACATGCCTGCAGCAGCCTGGGAACCCAGGAGGCAGCTGGCCTGGGGTTTTGGCCCTTAGAGCCCCTCTCCAGGGATCCAGGACCCAAGCCCCTCCCTGAGCAGGGGTGGGCCCAGCACAGGGGATGGGTGCTAATGTAAGACCGTGAAGGAAGCAAGTGGCATCCAGTTTCTGGTTCTGAGGCTGGCCCAGAACCTGGCCCCAGGGGCTCACCAGGGGTGTGTACTCCACATCATCCCCCAGCAGCCCCGTGTCGTTGAGGGTGTACTTGGCTTTCTTCTGCACGGCGTCCACTGGCCCCTTCTCCACCTGATGCTTGATGGCCTTGAAGAGCTTGTACAGCGGCTCCCCTGCACTGTCCTGGAGCAAAGCAAGGTGGCTGAGCCAGGGGTGGGAAGCAGAGCCATCCGGATGGAGCTGGGCCCAGGGAGGTGGACACTGGAGGTTCCAGCACCACCTCGCACCTCCCCCACCCCCGGCAGAGCCGGGTGGTACCCACCTTGAGATACTGGTACAGGCAGATAGACATCCAATTAGACAGCATTCTCTCCACCACTGTCTCAGACCTGGAGATGCAGAAAAGCTTTATACAAGGGACCCGCTAGTGCCCCGAGGATCAGCTGGCTCTTCCAAGTACCCAGGCCAGGTACGGCAGCCCAGACTCCATCCACGTCCTGGGTCTCCATCTCCTGCAGTGACCAATCTCCCAGGTCCCTCAGGGAGTGCATTTCATCACCCACCCCACGCGACAGTGCTGACCACATGGAGGAGCAGAGACCACCTGCTAGCAACAACGCCTCCCTCTGCCCTACTCACTAGCCCTGGCTACACCTGCTGGCCAACCAGGTGCCTGGACGAGCCTGTGCGCCCCGCTGCACCCCCACTCCAGGCGGGCACCCAGCCTGCCCCACACACCTGCGCAGCATCAGCTTGGGGTTCTTGGCCACCACGTACTGCTCCATGAGCTCCAGGAAGAGCGTCCGCATGATGTCCGTGTAGTACTCCAGCTTCCCGTGCAGCGCCACGGTCAGCAGCGACGCAAAGTAGACCTTAGCGCGGGCGGAGAACTCCCGCTGGTTCTCCAGTCTCCTCCCCGCCCACAGTCAAAGGCCCCGCCCCCGGCCCCTGCTCACATTGATCAGGAAGCACTTGCTGTTGAGTAGGTTGGAGAACTGGTAGAGCGCCTGCTCCACCACCGGCCGCCGAGACTCGGGGATGTCTAGCTTGCCCGTGATCATCACGTCCTTGTCGCCGTCCTTGGAGGGCAGGAAGAAGACGCGGTCGGTGTAGGTCTTATAGTCCAACACGGGGATGCCTGCCTCGTGCACGTCGTTGGTCTGGTCTTCCATCTCAATCATCAGGTCTGCAAGGGGGTATGGGTAAGGCACGCGTGGCTGTAGCTGGCCACCCGCCCCCCTCTGCCCTCCCCCACCCGAGACCCCCTCTCCCAGAACCTGGCCCCCGAGCCCTGCCCTCCCAGGACCCGCCCCTGAGCTCCCCCTCTCCCAGGACCCGCCCCAGAGCCCTACCCGTGAACTCTTTTTTGCAGCGGTCGCGCACACTCTCCTCCAGGCCCTCCAGCTGGGACTTGATCTTCTCGTACTCGCGCTCCGCTTGCTGGCTCTTCCTCCTGGGGGCACAGGGAAGCTCCTGGGACCCGGCCTAGGTGGTGCCGGCTGGTGGGTGTGGCCGAGGGGCGGAGGCCGGCTCACCAGTAGCAGTAGACAGACACGGCGATGACAGCCACCATGGGCCCGATGACCAGCGGCAGGATGAGGCTGAGAGGCACGTCGCTCGCACGCGTGTCATACTCCACTCGGCCCAGCACCCACTCCCGCGAGCCGAACTTCACCTGCGTGGGGACAGACTCAGCAAGGACTAGGGGGGCCGCAAAGACACCCCTGCGCGCCCTTCAGCCGCGCACCCCCACCGCGCCGCCCCACACGCATGATCCCGCGCGCCCCCCGGCCGAGCCGCCCCACACGCACGATGAATTCCGGCAGGTTGTGGGCCGTGTCTCGCTTCTGCCTCCGCTTGGGAGGTGGCTGCACCTCCGGGGGCTCGCAGTACAGATCCGTCTCCGTCAGCGTCTTCATGATGCAGCGCTCAGCACCCACGAAAGCTTCGGCCTCATGAATGGTCATGGCCTTGTTCAGATTGGTGCCCTGAGGTGGGCGGCGGCGTCACATTGACCAGGAGGGCATCAGGGAGGCCCCGACCAGCTCAGGCCAGGCCTTGGGCTGCTCCCTGCCCGCACCGCTCAGAACCTGCCCCCCGGGGCTGCGCTGGTCCTCACCCGCGCGTGAATGAGCTTGTTGACCTGCTTCTTGACACCCCCGGTGAAGTTCTCGAAGGTGGGGTCAGCAACGTACTCAAAGGCACCAGCCTCCGTCCTGAGCAGGGCTTGGTGTCCATCCATCCGGATGAGTGCGGTGAGGTTGTAGGCCTCGGGCTCATCGGGGACAGCCGGGGACAGGAACACGACCTTGGAGTCATTGTAGAACACGTACTCCGTGCCCACGACCTAAGGGCCGAGGCAGGACCTTTAGGCCGCCTGGCACAGGTGGCATCTGGCCCTGGCTTGTACCAGCAGCGGGCACCAGGACTGACCGTCAGGGGCTGCAGTGGTCCGGTCTCCCGCCGCCGTCTCCAGGACTGCAAGGGCTCGGCTATGACCACCATGGCGAACCTCTGGATCAGGCTGAAGCCCTGTCCTGTGACGTTGATGCTCCGGCCACCACTGGAGGACGGGGAGGAGACAGTGCCAGAGTGGGCACACCGGGCAAGGCAAGTGCCCTGCAAGGCTATGTCCCTGGCCCCACCCACCATGACCTGGGATATACTTCAGCAAGGCAGAAGGTGTGCCCAGAGCACACGACTGAGCACTGCCACCCTGCACTGTGGGAGGGCAGGGAGGCTGTCCACATGGGTGTCTAGGGTGAAGGGACCTGGGGGACAGTGGGGAGTTCTGGAGGCCTCCTCCCGTCACCCTGACCTGCATCTGCCAATCCTCACGAAGCTGGTGGGCACAGAGCGCCTGGGAAACAGCTGGAAGGGGTGGGTGTGGGGGCACCTGCCACCGAGGGCCCCTTCTCACACCTGACAAAGCTCCGCAGTGGCTCAAAGGCCCGCAGTACTGGATTCTCACGGTAGGTGAAGGTGATGCCAGGGCTGGGCACTTCGGAGCCCCCGTAGTAAATCTTCAGGGCCAGCTCTCCCGGAACCGACTGGGGGCCAGTGACACATTGAAGCTGTGCCCCAAACTGTGTCCTGGAGGTGTGAGAGCCTGTCAGCGTCAGCCCTGCCCGGGGAACACCCCAGGCCCAGGCCAGTGGGTCCACTGCCCCCTCCAGGACGGACACAGGGTCATGGCCAGAGGGCCCTCACCCTGTCCCCAGGACCAGGGGAGACCAGTATTTGGCGACCTGTGGGTGACACCCACACGTTACAAGGGACGTCATTGAGGGTCACCCTCACGTCTTCCTCAGAGCCCGTGTCCAGGTGGGTGCCGTTGATGGTCAGCGTGGTGCCGCCCGCCTGCGGCCCCTGCCTGGGCTCCACACTGCGGGGCTGGGGCTGCTGGAAGAGGGGCAGCGCATCTGGCTCAGGGCTGGGCGGGGACGCAGCCCCTCCACCCAGTTCGGGCCTGCCCTGTGCCACAAGCACTGTCAGGAGGTGCCCAGACCTCACCCACACCTGTGCCGACCTGCCAGCTGCCTACCTGGTAGGTGAAGAGGACGCCAGGAGGCGAACGGCCGAGCTTCCCATTGACGTCCACCTCCACGCCGCCCGTGAAGGGCACCTCTGCAGCCTCCATGGTGCACACAATCCTGCGTGGGTGGCAGGTGGGTGGGCACACGCTGTGGGTGTGCAAGGCCTGGGCACCCACGCACACCTGGACCGTGTCTTCCCTCTCCACGCCCCCCAGTCCCCAGGCCCCCCAGGACAGGGCTCAGTCCAGCCCTGGGAGTCCAGGTCATGGGCTGCCCACTCACCGGGTGGACACAGAGTACCGTTCTGGCTCAAAGGCACAGTTCTGGCCAGCCACGGTGACCCTCTTCACATCGTCCGCTCTGACCCCCAGGTTTGACCCAAGGATGGTGACGCGGATGCCTCCGCCCAATGGGCCGGTCTCAGGCTGGATCTGAAATTGGCAGAGCCAGGCTGACGTGGGGGTCCCGGGCAGGCGGGACCAGAGCTCTCCTGCAGGTGAGGGGGGCAGGGGGCTCACCCTGGTGACGACGGGCGGCGGGCACTCGGAGGTGGCATTGCCGCACAGCGCCTCGTACACACAGCGGCTCTGCCCGCTGCACCACACGCAGTGGTAGGCGGGCTCAGCGGCCAGGCACAGGCTGCAGTCGCTGCGGCCGAAGGAGCAGTTGTAGAGAGTCACTGCAGAGAGAGAAGCCGGCTGTCGGCAAGGCCGTCCTGCTCCCCGCGCCCGCCCGCCCGCGCGCCCGCCCGCCCACCTTGGAGCCGGCTGTCAACATTCTTGCCGGAGGACTTGACGTACAGGTGCAGGGGCAGCGTCTCGTCGGCGTCGTGCATCAGCTAGGGGCACACGGGAACACACTGCACCCCCTGCTCCCACGAGGTCCCCGACGGCCATGACCACGTGTCCCCGCACGGCGGAGGGTGATTCCCATTCCAGGGAGCCGGGGGGGGGCACGGGGACACCCCGAGGCTGTGCCTGCCTGCCGCCTGCTTCCTCAGCAGGGTGGTGTGGTGGGCCTGGACCCCCGACCCCTCAAGGTTGGTGGTGCTCAGTCGCACAATCGTGTCTGACTCTGCGACCCCATGGTCTGCAGCAGGCCAGACCTCCCTGTCCTCCGCCATCTCCCAGAGCCCGCTCAGACCCGTGTCTACTGAGCTGAGCTGCCTCCGCGGGGCTGGCCCTCGGGGTCCACCAACCCGGCCCACCCACCCCGGGAGGCATACCTTTGGGGTCCGAAAAGAGAAGGTTCCTGGCTCCTGGGTGCTGACTGACGCCTCAAACTTGAGCAGGTCACTGCCCACAAGCAGTGGAGAGCCCTGCCAGACAGGCCAGTCAGGACACCCCAGCCAGGCCACCCCACCCCACCCCAGGCCCCAGAGCCCACCGTCCCACACAGCTCCCGGGCCGCCAGGCTGCCCCCGACCAAGGGACACTCAGCCACACCACGGTGTGGGCCCACAGCCTGCTCCCTCCTGAGCAGCACTCGCTGCCCGCCTCCTAAACCCTAAATCTGCACAGCCTGTCCAAATGCCCTCCCATCCTCCCAGGCCCTTCCCTCACATGCTGGGCCCTGAGCACAGAAGCCCAGGGCTCCAGGGTCTGCAGGGGGCGGGCCCAGAGTAAGCCCTGCCCCCAAGCCCTGGCCCTCAGGACCCCCACCTGCACTGTGTCCAGGTTCTTGCCCTGGAAGGTCACGTCCGTCTCGTGGTTCACGGGGATGACCAGCGGGCTGGGGTTCAGGAACTGGGGGCAGTCGTCCTCCTGGGCAGGGGGAGCAGTCAGGGTCTGCCCCACCACGGCTGAGCAGCCGGGCCCCCCCACGGCCCCAGGCCCCTCACCATGTGGGCGCCGACGACGCCGTCCTCAGGGCTGGGTGAGGCCTGCTGACACGCGTGCTCGCGCAGCGCCCACTGGCAGGTCCAGCGATTGCTGGTGCAGGAGATGCACCTGGAAGAGGGGGCGGTGAGGGCCGTGGGGTCGCAAGCGGGGGCCGGGGGCAGGCGGGGGAGCCACTCACGGCAGGTTCTCCTTCAGACTCATGGCTTCCTGGCAGTCGTAGAAGGGGTACCGGTGGGAGGTCAGGAAAACATTGCCTCGTTTGAAGAGGAGCTTGATGGTCACGGCCACGTGATCTGCGGAGGGACAGCGTCGGGTGGGGCTGCAGGCGAAGCCGGCCCGTAGGGGACGGGGAGCTGGAACTGGGCCTCCCTCGGCCCCAAGCCCGCCTTGCGTCAGAGTCTCCCACAGGAGGCCGCATGCAGAGACCCTGACTGGAGCCGGCCCCGAGGGCTCAGTTGGGCCTCTATCAGATCCCGGCTCGGGTATCGCTCTGCCCCCCACCGCGCCCTGAACTGCCGGCCGTCTTTCTGTCCCTGCAGGCATTGAGGGCCGTGGTTCCCTTGTGTCTAGGGCAGAGCACTTGCCAGATCCCGGCCACGTCACTGCACAGGCCCTGCCTTCACCCATGAGCCGGCTTCCACCGCCCCATGTGCTCACGGGACAGGCTCGGCGCCAGGCCTGGCCTCCAGGGACAGCCTCACTGATCTAAGCTGGCTGGGGCAGGAAGGGCGAGGTGGGTGCCCAGCACACATTCCCTGCATGCCACCTGGCCAGGGTGTGGCCCTGGGGTCTCAGTGGGCACCCCGGGGCTGGTCGGGGGTGGGCAGCCTGGGGTCTCAGTGGGCACCCCAGGCCTGGGCTTGGTGAGCGGCAGCAGGTGCCTCACCCTGGCCGGGCGGTGTGCGGGGAAGACTGCTCCTGCTTGGCGAGTTGCAGACCACGGTGCCCTCCTGCAGGCGTGCGGGGTGAGGCGGCGATCCTCCAAAGAGGCACAGCAGCGTGTCGTCGTCGCTCAGGGCCGGGAGGGGGCTGACAGTCAGCTGCACCTGGGGAAGGGCCGCGCCGCTCACGCCAGGACGCTTCCGCCCCGACCTGGCGTGTGGCCCACCTCCTGGCCCAGCCCCACCCGGAACACCTGTCCCCTGCTTTGCTCTCTGGCCGCCCTCCTGAATGTGGATCCCTGCCCCCTGGAAAGCCCTCTAGAACCCAACTCCGTTTCCCCTGTGTGGGACCCCTTGGGTCACTCCTGGGTCTGCCCTGGATTCTCAGGGGCACCCCAGATCACAGGGGACCCCACGAAGGATGGAGGCCCTGTGCCCAGGCCCGCACCCACAGCCAGGAGCACAGCCCTGCATGGGCCTCTGGTCGTCTCCACAGCCTGGGTCAAGAGCAGCCTTGCCTCCACCCCTGCCCGCCCCACTCACCTCCCCCTGGGTCTGGCGGCTCATGTTCTGCGGGTGGGCCCCAGTGACGGCCACGCAGGACTCGTTGCGGCTCCACAGCCAGTGGCCGCTCTCGTCAGCCCGGGGGCACTCCGCCTTCCTGGTGCAGCTGCAAGGGCGGGGGGCAGCCTTAGCCTGGCACCCGTCAGCCCCTGGGCTGGGGCAGGGCTGGACCCCCAGATTCGGGGCGGGGCTGGCCCCCGGCACTCACCGGCCCTCAACGACACACCAGCCACAGTAGGGGTCCTGTGAGCCGTGGCAGTGACTGCAGCTGGAGAAGCTTGCACACTCCTGCACGAGAAGCCGGAACACCTGGGGGCACCCGGGCAGCGAGCACGACTCCAGACACCAGCCAGAGAGGAGCCCCCAGACAATGATGCCTGGGAGCACCGGCTCAACCCCGCCTTTCCCCACTAAGCCTCAGGAGCCTCAACACCGACGCAAGGCTGAGCAGGGACGGCTCCAGGCAGCCCAGATGCTAGAGCTCGCCCAGGATCAGCTGGCACCGGGTTCCAGGGAGCCAGGGGAGCCTTAGTTACAGCACCTCCCCAGTGCCTGTTGCATCAGCCCCCAAGAGGCTGCGGGACTTGGCCCATCTGAGCTCATAGGAGCGGCCCCTCAGCCCGGCTTGCCCTTGGGAAGGCCCACTTTGAGCACTGACCCTCTGGTCAGATGGGCCAGAGAGACACAGAACAGACAGAAACAGTTTCAAAGGTGGGAAAGGTGCTCAGAGACATCGTCAGGGCCCGAGAAGAGGGCTGGCCCCTCTCACACCAATCGGCCCCTCTCCAGGCCCTGGACCCCCGTGGGCCCTCCTCCAGGCCCCACAGGCCCACCTTGTCCTGGGTCATGGCGTATAGGCTGGCCCGGTCTGCGGCCAGCACCAGGTCTCTCTTGATTCTCTTGTTGATCTCCACGAGGACGGCACCGTACTCCGTGGAGCTGCCGTCTGGGGCGAAGTACACCTAGGGCATGAGCACAGGTGCAGGTGAGGGTGGGGGATCTTGTGCACTGAGGACCCCTCCAGGAGCCGCCTGCCCCAGCCCTGGACCTCACCTTGAGGACCCGGCCATCCGAGGTGCCCAGAAAGGCGATGGTGTGGCCGTTCTCGGTGGTCACGGTCACGGCCGTCAGGTTCAGGCCTCCACGGTGCAGCACGGCCTTAGCCGAGAGGCCGTTGCGGCTGCCCAGCGGGTAGGGCAAGTGCTCCGAGCCACACAGGAAACTCTCGCTGGCACCCTGCGGACCGTGGTGTCAACGCCTGCCCGAGGCCTCTCCCCCACGATGGCCCCCAGCACTCAGGGCCCCACACATGCCCCAGAACCAGCTCGGGCACACAAGGCCCCCGTGTGCTCACCACCCCAAGCCCCCGTCCCTGGTGCACCCAACACCTGGGAGAAGCGGCACCCACGTGAGTGTTCACGCTGACCTGCCCGTGGAGACACCACACACACACACATGGCCCTCCCACCGGGTGGCATGTGGACACATGTCAAACAGGGCCACGCACAGACCCACCCGTGTGTGGCCAAGCCCATGTGAGAATGTTGAGGCCACATACCGACACATGGCCACCACACTGGATGTCGCCGTGGAAGGGCTTGTAGAAGATGTCACGGGCCACCTCGCGCGCACCTGTGTAGCAGGCGTCGCGGTTGGCCTCCATCTTGCGGTGGACCTCGTCCAGCGGGAACAGGCAGAGGCCGGTCCGGGGCCCCCCGCTGCCCCGGCCATCCCTGCTGAAGACGGCGTAGAGCACCCTGTTGGAGCCCGGCCGGTCCACCGAGGCCGCCAGGCAGGTGCCGAAGGGGGGGGCCTGGGCGTCGCCGGGGTCCCGGCAGCTCAGGTCCACCTCCAGGTAGGAGTAGTAGAAGGGGTCCTGCTTGCACATGCGTGCCAGCAGGGTGCGGTTCCGGGCTGGGTGCTTGTCCTGCTGGTTGAAGACGAAGAAGACGTAGGGGCCGTCCTCGAAGGCGGCCACGAACTGCTGTGTGTTGGAGGACATGTAGCCGGCCTTGTAGGTGGCATGGTCTGTGTAGGCCTCAAAAGCCTCCCGGCCCTCGGTCCGGTCCAGCAGGCGGGTGCTCACGATGACCCCGTTGTCGTGCGGCCCATTGCCCTTGCCCACAAACAGCAGGCACTCGTTGCCGGGGCCCGCAGCGCTGACCAGCCCCACGGTGGCCACGCTCTCGTCATTGCTGGCCACAAAGGACTTCTCGCCACTGCCATCCTCGTAGAAGAGGCGCGTGGAAATGTTGCCCAGGGCGCGTAGGGCGCAGATGCCCTTGAAGAGGCTGCCGCACTCCACCAGGCGGCTCCGGGGAGGATCCAGCAGCAGCAGCTGGTTGACGTTGTCGGTCAGCACGGCCTCGTGGCACTGGCTCACCTCGATTGGAGGCGTGCACTTCTTGTTGTCCAGGGCCGGGCCCGTGGCCGCCCGCTGCTCCAGCTGCAGGTCGGCACTCAGCTGGTAGAGCATGTTCACTGCCCCCACGTACACCATGCCTGATGCCTCGTCCACCACCAGGTGGTTCAGTTCCGTCTCGCTGCGGAAGAAGTCTAGCTTGCGGGGCCGCAGGCTCACACTCGTGCCCGCCAGGCCCAGGAGGGTCAGGGCCCAGAGCTGCAGCGCCATTGCCCCCGTACCCTGCAAGAAGAGAGGAGGGTCAGGGCTACCCTGGCCTGGAGGACCCACCCACCCTGTTCCTGACGCTGCCCAGCCCGAAGTCCACTCCCTTACCCACCTTCCTGCCCCTCTGGCCAGACACACCCACTCTCAACTCCAAGGAGATCGTCTCTCAACCCTCCTCAAGATGACCACCCAGTGACCTAACCTCTGACGGCCAGGCTACGAGCACTACAGCTCCAGGCCTGGGTGTGGCCGGCCGCCCCCAGAGGACTGCGCCCTGGCCTTTGCCCCCAGGTTCCCAGAGAACCTTCAGGCCCACCTCAAGGCAACAGAGCACCTCCTCCAAGAAGTCTCCCGGGCACTCACATCCCATGACCCCACAGCGCAGGTGATCTGAGAGGCACCACCCCCAGATGGCACTCCCCAGAGCACAGACCCAAGCCAACAGGACCTGAACATGCAAACAGAGGGCCACACACCTGTTCTGCGCCTGATTCTCACCACACAGTGTGATCCGACCAGAAACAGCAGAGCCACTGGGACTGCAGCCCGGCCTGCCTCCCTGACCCCCCCACCCCCTCAGGGCCCACAGCAGTCTAGTCACCCAGCCTGTGCCCTGCTGGGGAGACCCTCAGGTCTCTGAGAGGGGGACCCCAGAGTCAAGAGGGTGGTGCTGCGTCTGGGCTATAGCAGGCCACGTCAGTGAGCAGTATCTACTTGAGCACATGCCCCTGTGTGTGTATGCAGGCCTGTTCACATGTCCATGTGCATGAGGGCCGAGCTCAGGGTTGCCAACATGCAGGTCTGTCCCGGTTTGGAGTGGTCCAGCACCTCCCCACCTTAGGGACCCTGATTACAATCTTGAGAGTCTCTGCCCCCACCCCCTCAGGCTGCCCTTTCCCAATCTGTGTCCCGTCCCTCATCCCTGGACCCCTGACATCTGCCCGGAGGATTTCTGTGCCTGGCAAGACGTGTAGGGCAGCCCTGTCCATGCCCACAGGGTCAAAGGGAGACTGGCCCCGATGGCAGAGGTAACGAGGGGCCCTGGCCTCCCAGACTGCCCACAGCAGCCGCTGCGGCCACCTTCAACACCACTTCCCTGGACATACTCATTCACTCGAGAAATGACTACTTTTGTCCTCTCCTGCGACAGCCCTCCCTGCCTGCCCTGCCCCTGCCTCCTCCGGGAGAAAGAAAGCTAGCTGCTCCGTGACCAGGGGAGACGTTTCTCTGGGGCACCGGCTTTGGGCAAAGCTGTGTTGACTGGAAAAGTTTGGCTTCCTCTCATGGACCCTGTGACTATTACACAGAAACAAGCCGACTTCCTTCTCTCCCTGGGTCACTAGGAACCCCCCCCCCCCAAAACGGCAGGCTGTGGTTGGTCTCTATCCCTTTGTTCCCGTCTCCACCACGTCCCTCGACCCCCTCTCATGGACCCTGTGACTATTACACAGAAACAAGCCGACTTCCTTCTCTCCCTGGGTCACTAGGAACCCCCCCCCCCAAAACGGCCAGGCTGTGGTTGGTCTCTATCCCTTTGTTCCCGTCTCCACCACGTCCCTCGACCCCCTGGAGAAGGCTTAGCAGAGAAGAACCAGGTGACAAAGCCTCCTCATCCCAGAGTCAGGGGGAGGGGGCCCCTCGGCGAGACAGCGGCCCCACGGAGGAGGCCCTGCTCTGAAGCGCTCCCCCCCACCCCCGGGCTCCTGACGAGCTGCTGGGAGAGGAGCCACCCACAGGCCGACGGGACGACGTCGCGGGGGAGACAGCAGGGACCCGGGAAGGGGGCGGAGGTGGCCCAAGAGGAGGCGGAGGGCGGGGCAGCCAGGGTGACCGGGCCGCGCGGAGACCAATCAGGCTGGGGAGGAGCGGGAAGATTCCGCAGGCCCGCCCGGAGCACAGGCCCGACCAGCGCACAGTCGGGTCTGGCTCGGCGGGCCGGCGAGCCCGCGCGGGGGAACAGGACGCCCGGGAGGCCCCCAGACGTGGGGCTGGGCCACCCGCCAGTCCAGGGACGCAAGGGGCCGGGGGCTCGGGCGCCCGCTGGTGCTGCCCCCAGGCCCGGGGGCGGGCGACCCGGGTNGCCAGCCCCAGGAGCCCTCTGGGCGGCTGGCAGAGTGAGCCCCTCTCGAGAGCCCAGGTTGTACGGTGTCACAGGAGGGGCTGGGACTCCAGGCGGCAGCTCCCTCCACTTCCTGGACAAACAAAAGCCTCAGGTGACCTGCCTGGCCAGGCCCAGGAGCAAAGGGTGACCCACCTGACCAGAAGCCACGCTCGGGCCGCCGCACCGGAGGCGCCAGGAGCAGCCGGCAAAGCTCCCTGCGGCTGGTGTTCCCGGAACGGGCGCTTCCTGTTTTGAAGGCGGCCCGGGACCCCCGCTTGCTCACCAGGGCAGTGGGGATTTCCTCAGGGGCACCAGACGCCTCTTCCTGGCCGAAGTCCGGAGGTGCACTTCCAAGAAGTCCACAGCTCCAGCCTGCTGCCGGCCCGGAAGGCGTCTGGACGTGTGCCCCCTGCTCCAGGCCCGATTCCCAGAAGGCCGCGCTGCAGTCAGTGCCCAGCAGCCCTCCAGGCTCCCTGCACAGCCCACCCTCCCACGCGATCATGCCAGTAGCTCCCACAACAGGGCACCTGGTTTTGGGCAGACGTGTGCCCGCTGGGCCTGGCCAGACAAGACCCGTGGGGACACCTCACTTTGTCACTGCGTGGCTGTGGCCCCCACTACCTTCCCCAGCTTGCGCTAGCCCCCACTCACCTAGGCTTCAATGGTCTGGCTCAGTCTCTGCTCCAGGCCAGCATTGAGGTTCTCTAGGAAGCAAAGGAGAGACGATGGTCTCACGACAAGCCTGGCCCCTGCCTCCACGTCTGGGGTGCAAGGAGCAGCCCATGGGGCCCCAGCTGGTCTCTGCTGTCCTGGAGGAAACTCTCAGCCTCCTGCCTCCTCCACCCCATCTTCAGCCCTGCCCAGACACAGGCCTCCCAACCCCCAGCCCAGCACCCCCGTGCACGTAGGTCCACTTGGTGTGTATGCCTGCATGCCCCTCCAGCTTCCGCTGAAAAAGGCAGAGAAAGGAATTCCCTGGCTGTCTAGTGGTTAGGGCTCTGCACTTTTATCGATGAGGGGCTGGGTTCAGTTGGGAGAACTAGGATCCTGCAAGGTATATACATTATTTTGATTAAAACTAAAACTGTTTTCTGAAAAACATGCACACACAACTCTGCAATTCTCCTTACTAGATATGTGACTTTGCGCAAGTTACTTAAGTTCTCTGAATCTCATTTCCCCATCTGTGAAGAGAAGACAGCCATAGTGACTAACCCTAGCCGTTTGTAACAACTAAAGGATTTGGGCCTGAAAAGCCTGTCACATTGTAGCACTCAGCAAGCTGCGACTGTATCCTCTCCTTCTGGATAAACACGCCTGTGTATCGGCAGGGAGGACCTGGTCAAGGATACTTCTCAGCAGGGAAGTATGCAACCGGAGGACCCTGAGAACCCACAGTGCTGGTGAAGATGGGTGGTCCGTGTGGACCCCGACGGAGCCCAGACCTGTTGAGGACAGCTGTGGTGCAGAATTCCAGGCATCTCCACCCATGGGGGTTGATACAGACACCCAAGAGTTTAATTGAGAAGTTCTAGAAGATTACATCCAAACTGAAAGTCATGGTGAAGCCTTGAGGCAGGGAGGAGGGGGCTGAGACAATAAAGCAGCTTCATTTGCCACTTTTAGAAAACATTTTTACAGGATTATATTGAGTATGCACATGCTAGTGGTCTACTGAATCCCACCCCACCATGCCAAAGACCACTGGCTCCCTGTCTGGCTTGCCAGCAGCATGCCCCCGGGCACCTCATTCCTGAGCCAGACAGCCCCCAAACGTGGGGACCAACACTGTGAAGAGGGCCCAGGGCTGGAAGGACCCCCTGCAGGTCTGAGGGAGACCAGCAGGGGCAAGGCCTGCGGGTGGGGGGCGCCACACCTGTCACTTGGGGCAGGAAACCCCTCTGGCGTCCTCAGCCCCCAGCTAAGCAGGGAAGGGATAACCAGACAGAGGAGCTCAGGGTCCAGGTGTGCAGTGAAGGTGCCCAGGCAGCCTTTGTGAAAGGGACAAAGGCCACTCGGCAGGCAAGCTCAGTGCCAAAGCAAAGGGTGTCCGGACTGTGGAGCCTTATGAGAGGGCTGGGCGGGGCTGGGCCTCGAGGCCGAGGCTTCACACGGGGTCCACAGCCCCGGGGTGGAGCCTGCAGGCCTGCCCCTGACGGGACGTCAGACTGGCCTCTGTGTGCCTGGGGCCTGCCCCCTCTGCCTGGCACGGACGAGTCCCCAGCCCCAGCCCTCCACTTGCCCAAGTCCCAGGGTGGGCGGTTGGGGGGGCGTGATTGTGTGCTGGAGGCGAGGCCAAGGGACGCTGACCTCTTCCAAGGGACCCCCTCTTCCTAAGCCCACATACCCAGCCGCCACCTCAGCCCTCGAGGGACCTGCACCAAGGGGCCCACTGCGGCAGGCCCCCTTGGACTCTCCTGGAGGCAGTCCTCGGATTTCTCCTCCCGACATCAAGAGCCCCCAGCCCACACTTCCTTCAGAAAGAACCCTGGACACCTCCCTTCGGCTTGGCCCCCAGCTACCCCATCATGTCCACCCTGCCTCCAACTGGCAGCCCCCGCTCACTCCTGCCATCTCAGATGAAGGCCCCTCTGCTGAATGCCCACAGGTCTGAGGCCCTGGGTGACCCCCGCCACAGTCACACACACCCAATGCTGCTGCCCAGTCCCTTTTGACCTGGGTTATATGGGCCATGGACAACATCACACTGCCCCTCAGTTTCCCTGTGAGGTACGTGGGGTGATGACAGAACCAACCCGAGTGTGAGGCCTGGAGGTGTAAGTGAATCTGTGCCTGGAGGAGGGGCTGAGGGTGACATCATGATGCCACCGTGTCTCTGCTTTTGCCGCCCCCCTGGAAAACGCCTACCCACCCCCCAGAAGCCGGAGACGCCCAGCCTGACCCGGCCCTGCAGGACCGTCGCTCACCCGCCACGGCCCACAGTCTTCACTGACAGGCCGGTGAGCAAGGTCTAAACACAGGGTCTGGCCCAGTGGGCGCCTCCAGGTCTCAGCCCTGTGACCCAGGATGGGGGTGACACTCGGCAGAGGAGGCTGAACATCCGCGTGCCCCCAGAGCTGGTGCCGAGCCCCCTGCACCCAGGGGCTCCCTGAGGCTCCCCCTTCGGTTCCTTTCTTCTAAGCAGCAGCCTCATGCCCTGCTCCCCCACCAGGAAAATGCAAACAGCAGGTGCTCACTGGGCAGGGCAGGGATCCCACCCCAGGCTAGGGCCCCCTGCAGCCCTGGTCCCCAGGAGGAGGGCCCTGGGGCGCAGGCTGGCCCTCCTGGTCACTATCATCACGCAAAACTGATGCAGGGACGTCTCAGCACTGAGGTCAGAACAACGCAGAACAGCCAGGTCTGCCGGGGGGGGGGCCCTTGGCAGCCTGTGGGCTCGGGCAGGGGACCCAGGTTCGGCCGACTGGGAGAAGGGGCCGTTCAGACAGAGATTCAGGCCCAGGTGGGGACACTCCGAGATGGTGGGGGGGGGCACTTGGGACCCCCAGGACCGAGGGGGGCGGAGCTCGGGGCAGTGAGTCATTCCCCGGATCGTAGGAGGGCCGGGAGGTAGCAGGGCAGCGGTCCGGCCTGGGGCGCCGCCCCTCCCCCGCCGGGCAGCTGGCGGCGGGGAACCCGCCCGCGCCGCGCTCTCGCGACGAAAATGCAAATCTGCAATTAGCCCGGAGCGCGAAACAAATCAGAGGAAACAAAACCAGCGCTACGCCGGCAAATCTGAGCCTCCGCTGTTTTCAAAACAAGAGCGGGGAGTGGGCGCGCGCTGGGCGGGGTAGTGTCGCGGCACCCGGGCCAGGGCGAGAGGAGCCCCGGCCGGCCCGCCGCGCGCCCCGGGGTCGGGTCAGAGTTCAGTCGGGGAAGCGGGGCGCGGCCCCGAAGGGGAGGAGCGGCCCGGTCTTGCAACCCCGGGCGGCCCGGAGCCGGCGCGGCGCCCGCGGACCACCCCTCCCGAGGCCCCGCCCGCGCCCCGCGCCCCCGGGGCCGCACCTGGGCCTCTTGACAGGGCTCCCCGAGGCCCCGGGGCACGCGGTCGCAGGGAGCCTGACCTCCAGTCGCGATGACGGCGGCGGCGGCGGCCACGTGGTCCCAGGGACCCGTACCCAAGGAGCCTGGCGGGAGTCAGGCTGTCCTCCGTCGGCCAGGGAGCGATGCGCTGCCCCGCGGGCCCCAGGCCCGGGCCCCAGGCCCAGGCCCCCGCGCTCCGCTGTCGGCCAGTTACCCACCGCGGCCGCAGTGCCGCCTGCGTGACTCCCCACCCTACCCCAGCCAGACTCACCGGGCAAAGGCCGAGCGATCGGCAGACACCTCCGAGCGGGGGCGGGCCGGGGCGGGCCGGGGCCTGGCTGACGTCTCCAGGAGCCTTGCGTCAGCGCCGGGAGAGCCTCCCGAGGGGCCCTCCCAGGTGTAGGTGTCACCCCCTCCACCCGCCCAGCTCCCGGCCGCTCCTCTCCTCCCAGCGGGGGCTGAGGGAGACTGAGCAGCCGCCCCTGCAGCTGGGGCTCTGGGGCCCAGCAGGAAAGTCACCCTGCCCGGAAGCCAGAGGTCAGAGGCCCAAGACCCAAGGCCAAGGTGAGGAGGCGCAGAGAAGCCCCGGGGCTCTCACTGCTGCCTGCCTGAGGGGTCTCCCGGCCCGCTCCCCCCGATCCTGTAGGCCTCCCCCAAGCTGAGGCCCGAGCGTCCCACTGCAGCCGCCTCCGAGCACCCCTCCGCCTTTGTCTGAGGTCACCCTCACCGGGGTCTTGCGTCCTGCCCTGAACCTCAGGCACCACTGCGGCTCCCTGGGCAAAGCCCTAGGGTGGGTGCTGCCCTGGGCTGATCCCATGCTGTTGGCCCCAGTCACGGCCTCACCCTGCGGCCGCCTGACCCTGACCCCATGGAGAGAAGGCTTAGGGGAACACCATTTCAATGAATTGTTGTCATTCAAGAATACAAGCTGGGCCCTTCCTGGGGCCCACAGACTCCTGGGCCTCCCAGGCCCTCAGGGCAGAAGGTGTGTTAGTGTGGCCTGGCATCCATGCGCTCCAGCAAGCTGCACTGCCCTCCTCCTGGCGGCCCTCCTGAGTGCCAGCCCCCTGTGTTCCACCTGGACTTGGTTGGGCCCTCCTTCCCCCTCAGGCTTGCCCACATCCCTCCTCTGCAGAGCTGCGCCCCCCAGAACCCCTTGCAGCTTAATGCCTGTCAGTTTCCCTGTGCTCACGGCGACCCCCAGATGGGCCCGCTGACCTGCCCCATCTGCTCAGCCCGAAGCCCCTAAGCGCTTGCTGTGTGCCGGGGCCAGGGGGGAGGCCCTGTCCCACAGAGGCCTCAGACCACACCTGGTACACGGATGCACGGCGTTGGCACTCAGGCAAGTGTGGATACCCCCAGAGACCCCCGCCAGTGGGCAGCCGGTCAGGGCCGGGCTGAGAGGGACAGGAAGTGGAGGAGCGGTGTGGGCTGGGCTGGCTGGCAGAGGGAGGGCGCTGCAGGGCCTCGAAGCACAGAGGG